TTTTGGGAAAGAAGCATACTGGAGTTCCTCCTCAAGGAGAGGCAGCTGCAATAAAAGCCAAGTTTGAAGAATGCAATGATGTGGGCCAAGCAGAGCTCGTTAGCCTTTGGGGAAGAGCTGCTGGCTCCTGACTGTTCTGGCTCTATGGCAAGACTGCCTGGAAATACAGGAGCGTAAGGCTCATTGAAAGTTTCTGATGAAAGTATTTTTCAACAAAAAATACTGAGATTGACTAAGTGACTTGTTTTGCGAGAAGCCGCTTCTGGCTTTGGGAAATGTTGTTTTTCATTAAACTACAGAGCATATGCAAAACAGTAACACATTGATTTGGCTATGCTGTCACAGTGTCTTCCTAGAGTCTATTTTAGTTCTCATGTTCTCATTTTCTTCTGTGAGATGGGCAGACAGTAATGGGTCCTGAGAGACATGCCTGAATGTGTGGAGCCATCTTGGATCAGAAAATGGGAGCACAAGTATGTGAACTCTGGTTCCCATGCAGCAGGGCATCAATTTGATGACATTAAGTATCTGAACTTTCTGGAATGTTTTCATTTTTATAAAACCTCTAATTTTTGCCTTTTTTTTCCCCAAAGCAAATACACAATTTCTCTTGGCCCCTATAATTTTAATGACAATGTTGTTATCATCAAATTTTGGTTGGGAAAAGACATTTTGTCCTAGCCTTGTCAAATAAGTAGGTAAATAGTGCAACGCCTCCAGGAGATAAATGAAAATGTGAGCGTTTGGGGTTGGGTTTTTTTGAGGGGAGGGTGTTTATTTAACAGTGATCCCAAAACAATCCTCCAGGAAGCTGACGACCGCTCAGCACTCAGTTAAAGCAGACTGGGACTTGCAAATTTCTTGACGGGGTAAAACAAGGGCCAGATCAGCCACGCGATGAATTTCTGTCGGCCAGGCTGGATGCAAAAATGGGAAGTGCCCAGCTTCCTATTTAGGTTTCAGGTTTAGCTTTTAGTTTAGGTGTTTTCCCTAAATGTCTGGCCTGTTTCCGCCTTCCTGAGGGGAAGATTGACTGGTAACTCCCAGTCCCTGTGGATGGCAATGCTGCTTCAAGTAGCAAATGTAAACTCCTTTCCTGAAATAGCCTCAGCTGTCCCCTGCCCTGGGGTTAGCCTGGAGAGCAGGACACGGCCCTGGAGGACCCTGTGAGCATCATTTAGAAGAGAGGCAGAGGAGTTGTGTCTTCAGATACTATTTCAAAGCTGGAAAAATTATTCTCCCTTGGTTCTTCAGCCAGATCTCCCTTATTTATGGCAACAGTAATAAAATATGCCAGACGAAGGAAGAGCAATCCTTGAGGAAGGGGATGGGATGTGAATAAACTATTCTTGGTCGACCTGACCAGCACTGTGCTGAACTATAGCTATATGCGAAGCTGCCATCTCCAGAGCTACTTGCATGGCCCGTTAGCAGGATTCTCAGTGCTTCAGGAAGGTTTAATTTGAGAACAGTGGTATGTCGGTGCACAGAGCCAAATTGGGTCCGGTGGTGTACTCCAGGAACTAAGCTGCCCTGGTTGCCCAGAACCCAGGGGGGTGTGCTGCAGGGTTAGCTTTGCTGGAGCCAGCGCTACTCCAGCTGAACGACTTTAGTTCGGCAAAAGCCAAGCAGCCCTAGGAGCACGACGGTAGCATATGTGAACTAGTAACCCAGGTTTTTACCTCTGTATGGGAAGCATTTCTGCAAGCCTATCCCAGCAGAACTGAGAGTTGAGTGGTTATTTAAAATAAGTGTTACATTTAATTTTGCATGATCCTGACAACCCATCCACCAGGGGAGGGTTGAATGTTTAGAATCCATTGTACTTTCAGAAGTCTTAGTGGGCTCTGCTCACGTGTTTGGACATTCTCAAATATCTGCAGGATCACAACCCAAATTCTTAAGGCAAGGTTGGAGTAAATAGAACTTTACGTTATGTGTGATTGGATACAGGAAAAAGTGTTGCAAATAAAGAAAGCTGAAACACGTGTTTGAATGCTTTTGGTAAATCCTCTTGACGTTGTGAAGAATTAAGACGTTATTTCTGGTTTAAATGTGAAACATCTCCAAAGGCACATCAGTAGTGTTTATAAGCTATAATTTATTGCTTTTTAAAAACTCTTAATCTAGGTAATACTGATCTCCGGTAACAAAAGAGACCATCAATTAGCAGAAATAAATCTGTCACAATGATAACTAAAGGTTTTTGTGATTTTCTACAGAAGTTTGCATTTCTACATTAAAAAAAAAAAAATATTGAGGGGGAGGCTAGTTGTTTGTTCCTTATGAATCAGACTTGAATATACACAAAAGGTAAGTATGTTTGTCTCCTCCCCACCACGTCTTCTGTAGCCTCTTTTATTTGGGGCATTTATCTGCAGAGAAGAAGGAAATCAAAAAGAGCGTTAATGAAATTGAGTATGGTCTTTCATAGCTCAGCCAAATTTCTAATGAATAGATTTCTCTGGGTCAAAGCCAAGATCTGTGTATCGCTTTGGATGGGTAAAAGCTTTACAGTTGTGTATCTGATTGCTGCTCTGGCATTTGTGGGAGGGAAGAAACCTTAAATGTATGAGTGGGGATCATCTGGTTATTTGTGGCATGGTAACAATGTGTATAAAGATATGATCCGACACATATGTCAAAGTAATTCCTGTTGACTGACTTCAGGGAAAATGCATTGTAAATCCAACTACTCGGTGTGCTTGGGATTCTGATACAAAGGTAGCTGCTGTGGAGGATTTTCTGGGGCTGTCAGACTATTTATTTTGCAGTCAGGCTGAGTTTCTCTGGTTTTAATTCATATAAGAAAAGTCATCTTTATAAAAACAAACAAAAAACAGCACTCCTCCTTTCCTTTCCCTTCTCTTTCCCAAAGCAACCCTCCGTATGTGGGAAATACCATCCTGATGTCTTAAATTAGCAGGATGCATCCAGAAACAGCACTTGTAGTTTCTTGATTTCTTTTTTTTTTTTTTTCAATAAAGTTCATTTTACCACAAAGTACGTCATTGCTGAAACTGAATTTTTGTAAGAGGTTTCATCTTTACCAACTTTCCTACCACCAAATCCTGAAACTGCTATTTTTAAAATGCTTTTAGAAGTGTTATGTCGGGTGTTTTTTTTTAAACCCACCACTATCAAAGTTTCTTGATTTATTGTTATCATGGGCATAGCAGCGATACGGATGTATTTTAAGTACTCAGACAGGACTGAAAACGGCCTTAACTGTTGCCATGAATGTCTGTCTTGTTCTTCATTGTATGGTGATGATTATGCAAAAAAGGGCACAGGGATTTATTAATTATTCAGAACCAAGTCTGCTTATCTGGAAGAAGTATGTATAAAGTTATACTGAAAGTGGTGCTTTCACTGTCTGCAGTCCCCAACCTCGGTAGCTAAAGCCCTTACAGCTACCAGTGCTTCCAGACTCCTGATCCTGCGGCAGAGAAATTTGAGCCCGTTTTACAGATGAGGGAATGAGGAGAAAAGACATCAAATGGCTTCCCAGGGCAATACGTGGCATGTGTGATGGGACTGGGTGTTGGGTGCAGCTGATGTTGTCCTTGGCCAGAATCTTAGCAGAAAGTGACCACCCTTCCCAATTAGATGAAGTTTTCCTCACCGAGATGGCACGGTTTTCAGTATTTTGTTTCTTCTTGTTCTCTGTGAAGTACAAATGTTAACAAAAAAGACAAATACTTGAGGAAGATGTCTCCCAAATTAGCAAGCTATAGTTTCCTATGGAAAACCAGAATCCGAGCCATTGATGAAATAGAGCAGCCCAGGAGAATAAAAGGCTTACCAGGGTTCGAAAGACCTCCATTTACATAAATATGCAGAGACATCTGTTACAGTCATGAGTGACCTGCTGGTTTAAATCATCAGCGGGGGAAACTTGTAGTCGATCAGCATTGCCTGCAGTAGCAGGTGCTACTTCAGGCAACAGGAATTACTGAAGAGGTTTTCGATGAACAAAGACCTTTCTGCTTGCCAAGAAGAGACATACGGGAAATTGAAACAAACGGCACACGCCTACGGTCTTTCATTTGAAATATGTGACGAGAGCATAGTGTGTGCTTCTGCGTCCAAACCTTTACGTGATTAGTTACAGGTATGGTGTGGTTGACAAAGTTGCAAAGTTTATGTCTGAGAAGTACTTAAGGCTTTTGAAACCAAACTACTTAAGTCAGATTCCCAAACAGAAATGAATCATCAAGATTTAATGGAAAATGTTCAAAACAAATTTATCATCTAGAAACAATGTTTTTATTATCAGAGTATATGCTCAAAATAGTAATGTAAAACTGTCATCCTAAAGGTTAAGATTATTTAAGTGAATAATTGAAGTTTAATTCTTGCTCACCATTCATCAGCATAGACATTATAACATTATGTTACATAATACCAGGATATTTGTATTCCTTGTTGGCACAGAGTATATGGCGTTCTCTCTCTTTCTTCCTCTCTCCTTCTCTCCCTGCCCCGTAATAAAATTTGTAATCTTATCTTAAATTTAGATTTGTTTCTATTTTATGGGAACTATATTTACGTTCACTGCATAACATGGTTTTGTAAGGAAAGAATCTGTCTTTCAGTGGATGAACGACTGGACAGAAAACTAGATTACAAATTTGGGGCTGCAAAAAGGTTATGATTTAGTGTGTTATACATGACTGTAATTGCCAGCAGTCCTGAAAAGAAAATGCTCACACAACAGAAGTAAAAGAGTTGATATTTGCAAAGGCTTCCAAGATTTAAAATGCTCCCTCTGACTCTCTCATATATGTTAAATACCACTCTTTAATTATAATAAAAGGTACAGTACAGCTTGAGTACTTGATTCACAATATTTAATGGGTACCTCACTGGGATGTAAAAGTTCTAATAACTATGTAAGATCTTTAAATATCTTAATAATTCCCACCTCTATTTTGATAACAAATCTCATAATAAATCAAGATAAACCAAAACCTGTTCTTTTCTTTCCCTTTGAACAGAGCGTGGATCACACTTCTCGTAAACCTCATCATATTGAGGTTGGGCTAAGATGAGCATAACCAGTGACGAAGTGAATTTCTTGGTGTATCGCTATCTCCAGGAATCGGGTAAATTTCCTGACTTTCCTCACAACTCCAGGTCATAGATGAAATGGGAAAATTGTTTTTTTTGCATGGTGTTGCTTTAGGAATGTTACATTGAGTGTTTCAGACTGATAGACTAAATATTTCTTGCACAAACCCCTGTTTCTTTGAAATCATGGTCTTGAACATAACAAAAGTGTAAACATACGCAGGTACAAAGTAAACATTGAAGTTAGGCAAAACAAGAAAATAAATAACATTATGTTAACAAATGTTTTTGTAGAGTTGTATCATCTCAGCCAAAATAATTTTTGGCAGCACAGGCACAAAGCACATGGATTTTATATCTCTTGTCTTAGTTACTTGAAATAGTTCTGTCAGATACATATTAAGTAAAGAAGGATTGTCTACACTGGTTTTATATTGTCTGTAAACAGAAATTTGCGTGCAAGCATCTGATGTTTTAGAATTTCATTACTGTAATTATGTATGTAAACCTAACTGCGTGAGTATCAGTGTGGCTTTGTCTTAGTATCACTTTCACCTCTATCTGTTTTCATATTGGAAAATAGTGTCTTCACAGGGCTTTTCCTTTTAGAAGGAAAGCTCTATCTTTCCTTCAAAAGAAAGATTGAAATTTAAGTTTAAATTTAGGGTCAATTTTGTTTTTGTAGTCTTGATTCCACTCTTTGACTGCAAGAAGTAGAAGTTCTCATCCCTAATGGAAAATGTTCTGTTAGTGCAGAGGTGACAGGGAAGGTGAGAAACATTGACAAAAGATTTATATCCAGGGTCCCAATTTAGTTGGTACTGCCTCTATGTTCTGGGTTGGTAAAAATAGAATTGACTAAAAATATTTGGTGTTTTCTTATGCTGAAACAAACACAAAAAAAATCCTGTGGAAAAATACACGTCTTCCTGTCAGAAGACTTGAAGCCAGTTTTAGAAGAAACCCTTGAGATTTAAGAGATGTCTTGGACAGGGACCAAAATCCCAGCAGGTAGAAGATACTGGGTCGTTCTGCTTCTCTTGGTCCTTATAACTAGCATTCATTACATACACCATTTTGATTTATTTCTTCTACTTCCAATACTATTTCAATCCCAGGAACACAAATCCCTATGCAAGGAATCTCCACTGAAATGGTGAAGATTTATAACACTTTTTCAGGATTTGGTCTATTAAAACAGGTCTTTGAGAGTCCAGTTGTGGCCTGTGTTAGAGCTGTTTTCTCACATTATATTCTTCTCTCTAATAATGAGCTTATTAAAAAAATAGTCTAGTTCTAACATGCAACCAGATGAAAGAAAGATAGGAACTAACAAATCAAAATTTCATCCAGATAAAGTTTATTTTTAAAAATAAGTTATTGGGTACCACACTGGAAAGGGCTTTTGAACATTAGAGCAGTGTGCAGGTGGATGTAATCAAAGCCTAAAGAATCCTGAATTTGCTTTACATTGTTGTATTTGTCGTGTAGGAGATACTGCATAGCAGTGTATTAATACAGTAACTTTTCCTGATGTGAAAAAAAGAAACCCAGCCTTTTTTATTCTTCTTGATATATGAGTAGGCGGGTTAGTGTTGTGCAGTGATTTGGAAGGAGGCTTTACAAGGTCAATTGAGAATGGTGGTATCAGCCAAATATGATGAAAAAGTTCTTCTAGGTAGCCCATCTCCCACAATCAAGCAATCACTTTTGCCATTTTAGGGAGAACTTCACATACAAATTTTCAAATTAATTGCAAGTTGTACTGCTCTTACCTTCTTATGTTAAGGGACAAATGTTTTTCATACTTGATCCACACATACTAAAGGCATTCACAAAACCATTATATTCCCACTGTTCTGTTGTATTTCATTCACTAAAGAACGTAGAAGTTGATGTGAAATATTCGAAGAAATATTCAAATATGATTCAAACTGAGCATCTTGAAATCTAGATGCTATGTATTGATTTAGTAGATATACCTGTCAGTTTACTAGTAATTCCATTCAGCAAGTGCTATAAACAGTGATGAATCCACTAATCTATTTTAAAAGCTCCTTACATTTAGTTTTAATCTTCTTTCATAATGTCATTGTTCTTTCCAAATAAATTTTTATATCTGTATTTTCAGATAGAGTAATAAGACAGAAATTGTTATACAGCATCTTGCCTTTCCACCTGCTAGTATAAATGCCATAAGATGCGACAGCAGATGAAAGAAGTTTAATCAATAACTTCAGAAATAATGCACGCCAAATTTAGAGGGCTAGTGTTTAGACAGTTTAAGTTCAAACCCCTGCAGTTCAAGGAGTTTGCCAAAACCAAGGTTGTTACCTTGATTATTTACTAACATTAGCTGAACCCAAAGCTTCCAAAAATTATATCAAACACAACCAGTAAAGGCTGCTTACAAGACCATAAAAAAGTTCAACTTGTTTTTCAGGTATCTGTCCTTTAATCTTGTCATGTAAGACTTCCAGGCTTTCCTATAAAATGTGGGCAAATTGTGGGAGGAAGGGAGAAACAACAAAAGGAAATACATATAGCGGAACAACTATATAAAAAGCAAACTGTCGCTATAATAGTTCAAGTATTTTGTGGCTGCAAGGCACAGAAGCGCTTGAGATTATTTGAAACATTACAGCAAAGATGCTGATGGGTGCTTTACACTTCATTATGAAAATGCTGGCAGGTCATGCCAGTAGAAGTTCAGCTCTTCTAAAATTGAGGTTAGAAGTGAAATTCAGTAATTCTATTTGTCCTTAATTCTCTGTCAGTCTAGAAGACTTGCACAGTAGACTACTAATAGAGTTGAACTGTCTAAACCATTATTGTTGCTTTTTAACAAATCTTGGCATACCAAGGGGATTTCCAGTGAACTGGAAAAAGCAAATGTTGTGCCAGAATTTTTAAAGGTTAAACAAGATGATCCAGGTAACTATAGGTCAAGCAAAATCACTGGAAGGTTGCAGCTAGATACCTCCAACAAGAAATGAAGAGATGACATCATGCCTAATTCCATCCAGCAAGTTTCTATGGATAATGAATCTTGTTGAACAAACTTGATACTGCTTTGACCAAAATCACAAATGAAGTTGACAGAGATAGCTGTGCTGACAATAATACACTTAGTCTACTTTATGACATTTCCTTAGTCTTGTGACACTGTGGTTAAAAACAAAATAGCAGTGTGTAAAATCAGTGTAATGCAGGATTACTAAATGGATTTAAAATGGACTAACAGAAACATCTTGAAAAGTGATTAGAATTGGGGAATCTCAAAGGTTTCTTCTAGTGGGAGCTCACAGGAATCTGTTCTTGGCATGATACTGCTCAATAGCTTTATCAGTCACCTGGAAGGAAATATAAAATTATTCTCAAGTACATTTGCAGATGGAATGAAGTGGTAAGTTGTGGCACTTGATGAGTTATACTGACTGATCATGTGGTTTAACTGAAAAAAATACAGCCAGGGAGACTGCTTTGAATTGCCTGCTGCTGGAGAAGCAGGCTGGAGAAGATGCCTGGTTCAGGAGCCGTGCAGTCAAATTCCTTCAGTACAAGACAGGACTTGGACAGGTTATGGCTCTAATTACTTAGCTGTATTAAAACAAGTAAATAATTGCCTCATCACATAGGTGACTGTCTCGGGGCTTATTGTTGAAGAACAAAGCAGTCAGGCATAATTTCCATTTAGGCCTCATGGTTCAATGGCATAGGAGTTACACCGCTGAGGCAGCTTGGTGTTGCTACTTCCACTGTTGGACCATGAATGCCCCCCTTCTTGAGGTATAAAGAAATAGTGTTTAATTTCAGTTTAGGTTTGTCACTTCCTATCCAAAAGTGAAGTCCTACCACATCCAGTTTGCTCCTTTCTGAATATGAGCTTTTTGGTGCACAATTTAAAGTGGCCTAATTCTCAAAAGTGCCGAGTACTTCCAAGTGTTACTTATTTCAGGAGTCAAACTTTTAAAAGTCAGGTTATATTTATTTGTAGGTGTCTTGGTTCAAAGATGTCCTTGAAGTGAAAATGTTGGCCTCAGTTGCTAAAATCTGACTTAAGTTATGTCTAAACTACAAGCATACTACCAGTGAGGAGATAGGAGCACACAAAATACTCCTGTAGTGGGCATAATTAAACCAACAAAGCAGGTGTATTGACAGAAGAAAAGCCATACCGAAGAAGCCACAGTTCTGGCATCCAAATGATATCAGTTCAGCTTTGCAGCTCTTCAGAATCCTGAGAAGCATACTTTTGCTAACAGCCATCTTCACTGCTGACATAGTCATCCTACTGGTTTTCTTCAGAGTGAAGAGTTATGTTTCTAAAAAACCATACAGAATTCACAGTATAGTTTTCCCGTTCTTCTTTGTCTGCCCAAAAGAGGAACAAATAATTAGTTGTCTTTTGGAATGAAGGTCAGAGCAGTAAAATGCAATGGAAGTCATAAGGTTTCCAAGGAAATTTGAAAAGAGGTGAGGGAGGGGGTGGCAAAAGCAAGGGAAATCAAATCTCACACATACCTTTTAATCTAAAATGTGCTGCCATCTGTTGTGAGTGACAAATCCTATCATAGATCCAAATGCTACATTAAATTACCTTCCCTACCCAGCACAAGTCAAATCAGTTATTAAAGCTTTTTCAAATTTGGTATTTTTGATGCATTGAACAATTTAATTGTGTTCCTTTTCTAGCACTTACATACACATTGCAGTATAGAATCCTTATCTGCAAATCAACTCCCCAGCTGCCTGTGGCTTATACTGCTCTACAGTAGGGCATTTATGTAGTGGATGTCTGACAATGACTTGTTAGAGTTAAGGTTTTGTAACAGTTCCCATTTTTGCTCATAATTTTACTGTTCAATTTTAATTTTTCCATATTTTATTACATATACTTGATAAACTATTCCTCAGTGTGCAATCTGAACCATGTCCAAGACAATAAAAACACTAGCTGGATGCTTTTGCTAAAAAGATGTCAGTGAAATTTTTAGCTGGTGACTTGGGACAATTTACCATTATACTTTAGAAC